TTTTTCAAACTATTTATAGAAAATAAAAACCTAATTAAACAAGGAATTTATTTGCTGGAAATCTGTCAAAATGCAACTGGGTTGACGGACCTCGCGACGGATCGTCGTGGTTACGACAGACCGTCATGGATTCCGTCGTCCTATACTTGTGTAATTTCTTCTGCTGCCTTCTTCATTACCCTCAACGGCAAGTATGACGGATCGTTACAGACACGATGGTCCGTCAAGGGTCTTCGTTCCAAAACACTTAAACTCTTGAAATATGGGTACTAGGATTACTTCTCTGAACTTCATGATGAACCTGCTGGACGGACAATCATAGACACGACAGACCGTCATGGACTCCGTAACCCCACACTTGGTCAGACTTCCCCATCTTCCTTCAGCAGCTGCACTACGTTGCCACCTACGGACCGTCACACGCTCCGTAGGGGGTATCTTCTGCATTTCTTCGCTCAAAATCTCCGCATTCATCTTTGGACAATTTCCTGCAAATAAGGAGAAACTTATATAAAAATTTGCACAAAAAGGCTTTTGTACACACTAAACTTAAGGAAAAAGTATTAATAATACCGTGAAACCACGGTATATCAGTATTCCCCATCTTCTCATTTTAAATATGTTTAGCTTCCGCATCAGTTTATTTTCTTTGGTATGCTTGTGATCATGCCAGCAGTCAGCAGGGTTAGCTTGGGATCACTTGTGGTCCTAAATTCTGTGTCCGCGTCTCAATCAAATCTTTAGGTTTAAGTTTCCTAGGATGTCTAAAAACTCGCACCAAGTAGAGTGAAGTGCACCATAATAAGAGGGAGGCTACGAAGTGTGTAAGGAAAACTCCACTTTCTTGATATTCTTATCGTGCGTAAGGTATGATGTCCTCTCTAATCCACTGATCAGCATTTAGGATCATGCGTCCGCGTAAAGCTTACACATGGAATGCTAATTCACGCAATGCTAATGCAGTTTTTTTTCTAATCCGGATAAAAAAAATGAATTCAGAATTTTAAAACGTTGATTCAGCTTTTGGCTTAGAGTATGACCAACCAGAATGGTGTGTAGACTCAAGTACTTACTAATTGAAATGATGTATCGGTGACAGTTAGAGTGTGGGATTTTGTTAAGATTAACCACTTTAGTTTTAAAGTCACAAAACTTCATTGATGAGTCTAAGAAAATCTTTGGAGTGATGCAAGTAACTGGGAATGGTAGGGTTGAGTTTACATCCTACCAGCTTAAGGATGTAACTCACATATGGTACACTCAATGGAATGATCCTGGGTCTACTGTTTATTTTTTAACTCTATATATACATTCCAATTCAGTGTTAGTCCAGAAACTCTCTCAGAACCTTTTTTAGTCTCTACTCCACTCGGTGACCCAGTTATAGCTAGACGAGTATACATAAATTGCCCTGTCACAGTATCTCAGAAAGTCACCTCAGCAGATCTTTTAGATTTATAAATGGTAAACTTTGATGTCATTCTAGGCATGAATTGACTACATCCCCATTATGCCTTGGTCAATTGTAGAACTAGGATTGTTCATTTTCAGTTTCCAAACGATCCAATCTTAGATGGTAGGGTAGTAGCTTACATCCTATGGGGCGATTCATTTCTTACCTAAAGGCCAGAAAGAATCTCTAAGGGTTATCTCTATCATCTAGTTTGGGTTAAGGATTCTAGATCTGAAAACTTAACTCTAGAGTTAGTTCCAATATTCAGTGAGTTTCCAGAAGTGTTTCCAAAAGATCTTCTCGGAGTTACTCACGGAAGGGAAATCAACTTTAGAATTAATCTCCATCCAAATACCCAACCTATTTCTATTCCTCCTTATAGAATGGATCCAGTAGAGCTTAAGGAATTGAAAGAGCAGTTGGAAGACCTTCTAAATAAGGGCTTCATCAAACCTAGTATTTCGCCATGGGGTGCACCAATGTTGTTCGTAAAGAATAAAGATGGTTCTCTCAGGATGTGCATTGACTATAGACAATTGAAAAAGGTCACAATCAAGAATAAGTATCCCATCCCCAATATTGATGACTCGTTTGACCATCTTTAGGGTGCTAGTCATTTCTCAAAGATAGACCTCAGATCGGGTTATCATCATCTCAGAGTCAGAGACAGTGACATTCCAAAATAACCTTCAAAACTCGCTATGGTCATTATGAATATATACTTATGTCATTTTGACTAACCAATGCTCCTGTAGCATTAATGAATATGATGAAAAGAGTGTTCAAACAATACTTATTCTTTTTCATTATCTTCTTTATTGATGTTATTCTCATTTACTTTAGGGGTGAGGAAGATCATGTGATTCATTTGAGAGTTGTTCTGCAAACTCTCAAAGATCGTCAGTTACTTGCTAAGCTTAGCAAATGTGAGTTGTGGTTGCAATCCGTTGCTTTCCTTGGCATGGAGCACACTCATGTCTCCATACTAAACTTAGCAAATATGAGTTGAATCTTGCTAAGTTTAGTATGGAGCACACTCATATCTCCATACTAGTTCAAGAACGCATATAGATTCCATCAGTTCCAGCCCTGAAATCTAAAGATTTCTCCGTGGATTTCTTCACCAGGTGTGTGGGATTTCACTAGTTGTCTCCTCTCACCCATTATATCCATAGTTTTCACTCAGTCTCTGGAGTCACATATCATGACTAGACTTAGGGTTTCTTGAATGTTATAATTATTGTGTTTTTAGCTGATAGAACGATCCAAATAAGATTAGTACGCTAATGTTTAGATAAATGCATGAATTCCAGAACCCTAGCTATGTTTTTCTTTTGTTCTTAAATTACACATGCAAGTATTTCGGTTACTTCAGATATATATGCCTCAATTATTAATGCATCATTATCAAATTAATTGTTGCATTCTCAGTTTGTCTGTTCAGTTTTGAGCTATCAAGTATTTACAGGAATTCAGTCATAATGTGTTAATCACTCAATTTATAAAGAGTAGCATAATACCGAGTTGGACTAGAGTTCAGTGTACCCAACTAGTCCCAGAACTAATAGCCAAGTAAGTTGTAAGTCCCCCTATATGGGCATCAGTTTAGTGATCACGCCTGCATTCTTTTATACCTCTGGCATGATATATTGGGTCCTCTCATGGGGTGTATACATCTGATTCCACATTTAGCTCATGTTGTTTCACTATTGGTTATTAGTAGATTCCACACTTGAGTTAGACTCTATTGCATTGACCATATTTACAATTCAGTTAGTATTCAGTCTTAGCATGTACTAAATTTGATCATTGCATCTTGTTAGCTCAGAAAATCAGGATATCATGTTCAGTATAGTATACTTGGTTTTATGCTTGTTCAGTTATGTTTTATTTTAGCTTTACTCTATCCTACATGCTGAGTACCTTTTAAGTATTGACAGATACGTGCGGTACATTTTCTCATGATGTAGGTTCAAGTTCTAAGCGTCCATATCACACTTAGAACGATTCCCAATCTCCAATTCAGTAGTATCAGTGATGAGTCCATATTCTACGAGGAAAAGAGTCATGTGTTCATTTTAGTCATTTAGTTTTAGTTTTTGCTATACTTAGTTGGGGCTCGTCTCAGAATTTCAAGTCAGTTAGAGGCTATTTTCAGACATAGTTAGTTTCAGCTTAGTATTGAGTTAATAACTTCTTCGTATAAACTCATTGGTTTTCAAATATCTCAGTTATAGTATATGGGTATTCCCCATCTTTCATTTTAAATATGTTTTAGCTTCCGCATTAGTTTATTTTCTTTAGTATGCTCATGATCATGTCAGCAGGGTAAGCTTGGGATCACTTGTGTTCCTAGGCCCTCTATCCGCGTCTCGAGGGTAGCTTGGGGTGGGATATATTTCTTCTATTTTTCATAGTTTTTATCTTTTAATATATTATTTCAATTTTGAAACTTAGAATTTTAAATGGTTCCATAAAGATTATAGTCCACAGATGTTGGTAATTATCATAAAACTTAAATAAAAATCAAATTAATACTGATGCAAAAAGAAAAATAATTTAACCCTGAGTATGAAAATAATATTGAATATTTTTTCTTTGGTTTAGACAATTAAAATTCATAATCTAATTTTAATTTCCTTTTAATATTTAGTCATGTAACTAATACTTATTTAAATTATTTTAGCATGATTTCGTACAATTAAATTATGATCATTTTCATTATGACTTGTTAATTTGCGATATTTGTTTACGCGATTTCATTATTATGATATTTTTATTTTTATTTTTATTTTGGATATTTTGGTGTCATTATCATATCATTGTTTGTGTTATATTCTTAAGAAACACTTTAGATTGTTATGTTTTGGTTGGACTGGAGAAATATTTGACATACAAGTGAATTATATGTTTGTATGAATACTTTAGCTGAAAATCAGAACATCCAAAAAATTCAAAAAAATCCAAGGTTTAAAAACCCCAGTTTTATTGATTTGATTTGGTTTATAGATTTTAAAATCCAACACAAATGATTAGATTTGATATTTGAAAATCCTGAGCCAACCCCACCATGATAAATATAATATTGGGAGAAAAAGGCTTTTAATTTATTAAACTGAGCAGTAAAAAATAACAAGCTATTTTTAATAAAATCCAAGTAAAATAGAAGAACTCAAAAAATTGTTAGTAATTATTATGTTTTTACTAAATATGTCTCGCTCATATGAAGAAATAACTTAATTAGTTGGAAAGAGATATATCAAAATTTAACATTATTTCTATATACGATTGGAAATTGAAAAAGTAAATAACTTAACATTATTTCTATATATGTCAATATATTTTGAAATAGATAAAATTTATATTTATTCCTGTTTTGCTTCAATGTCACTCCTATATATATATTCAGTAGCATCCACCTCAAAAATCATAGTAACAATTATTGTAGAAATGAAAATGACTTCTCTTTTTACTCCATACTTGCTTCTTTTAGTACTTATCGCAACCATTTTCAACTTTCAAACTTCTTTATGTGACATTCGTGCAGACGAGGCATTAATAACAGGTATATGTAGACAAGTACAAAATCTTCAATTTTGCTTAACCACTTTTAGACAAATTATACCTTCTCATCCATATGTTCCTGAAGAAGTAACTAGAGCTGCTATCACCAAATCATTACAAAATGCTAATGATAACCGTGCTTTCGTAGAGAAAGCTAAAGCAAATGCAAAAGACAAAGAGACTAAAGACTTGTATAGTATTTGTGACAGCAGTTATGGATTATTGATAACCGTTCTTCAAGATGCTTCTAAATCCTTAACTAACAAGGATTATAATGGCTTAGAAAATGACCTGGCAAAGTGTCCCCGATTTGTAAGTGACTGTCAGAATGTACTTGGTAGTAAGACAACGCGTGAAATGGTAGATAGAAGTAGAAAACAATTTGATCTTGTATTAATGGCAAAAATTGCTGAACAACTCATTAAAAAATAGGTAGTTTATATAATCATTGTAAATTAATTTGTCTTTCTAGAAAGCTAGTACCTAAATAAAAGGAGATTATTGATATTTTAATAAATCGTGCTTACTTTCTTATTTATTTATATAATAAAATATTATTCAACTCAACCTCATGAAAATAAATCTTCGAGGATGATTTATTTGTATTAACACATAATATTTCTTAATTAAATAAAAATTACATAAACAAGATTTTTATATTTGAAATGATCAATAACAGTTGTTCCACTAAATCATGTCGATAAACCAAGTGATTAATATTTATTTCTTGAAAAAATTAATTTCTCTCCAACGATTGATTTAATAAAATTAGAATCGTTGTATAAAGATATGAATAAAATTTGAAACACAAAGTCGTAAATAAGAAGGAACTCCGCGACACATGAACTCCAAATTTAGTGCATGCAATGGCAAAACAGCCCGAATACCAAATCAATCGCCAACATATATTGAAAAAGAAGTTAAACCAATCGAATAAAAAATTAGCCTAAATTAGAACAAAAACAAAATAAATAATCGATGACAGCTAAATTCTCCATTTGAACTGATCTCACAGGGAAATCACAATACTAGAGGGAGAAAACTTCACCATGAAATCTCTTTTAATAAGTAGAAATAGTAAGGAAATAAAAGAGTAAAACAAAGAGGTTTTGGTTAATGTTCAAATGGGGAAGACCAACAGTATTAAAATATAATACAACAACTTAGTCTTCAAGAGCTCATGCTCTACCTATCCTTATGCTTCTTAATCCGGCTATGTAGAAAGAGCACATACTAAAATGTTGGCTTCTTTTCGTCTCACCCTCGTGAAATACAAAATAAATGTTTATTTTACTTTTATCGAGGGGCATAAAAAGAGTAAAAATATTCAAAAAAAAATGAATGTGAGGATAAATTACTAAAACTGTTTGCTGAACAGTCACATACATTTTAGAGCGTATACTTGGACTACATAAAACCTCCATTTTTTCATCTATTTCATTGCCAAACCTGCAAATGCAATAAGCAAAACACAAGGAACCCATAAATGACCATGATACAAAATTCCAAGTATAAGAACTCCATGCTACAAATAAAAGAGAAAACATGAAGTGTATCTACAAGAAGCGTATGACAACACTTTAACACAATATTATCATATTGCCTACTCAAATTACTACTATTTCACATATGATATAAAATAAAAGTTTAGTAGTTAGTAGCTAATCTTGAGCAACAAACTCGAGATTAAAGAAAAAAGTTTATTTTTGCGTTATATTAATAGTCTTATAGGATTCTTCCATTACGTGGACATTTTATTACTCTCATTTCTCAATTTTTTTCTAGCGTCAACATTGTTACTTAGTTGCTAGATATCTCATGTTCATTTTTTCTGGAATTGATCAGATGAAAATATTTCTAACATTATCAATTGCATCTAATTAATATGAACACATGAAGTGGAAACTTCGAGAAAGTATAAGATCATATGACAGACTTCTAGAACTCAATGTATTAATAGAATTTTCAATATTAAAGTTTGTTAGCGGAAACGTGAAATTAAAGAACAAGGAATATTTAACGTGGTTTGGATCAAAATAATCCTATGTCCATGTAACACCCCAAATTCAAAACAGACCAAAAATCAGCTTTTCAGAAATCTGCAGGTGCTGTCGACGTTTACCACCGATGGACCGTAGCCTGACCCACGCCCCATGCAGCACATCCATTGATTGTGACTGAACCCCCCCCCCCAAGACGCAGCTCAAAAAATGTGAACAAGTGTCGTACGACGGATGGACCTACAGTTCGTAGGTCAGACTACGATTCGTAGTTTGTGTCCTTCGATCAACAACCCATTTACCCACTCTATGACAAGAACCATGATTGAGCATCACGGTCCGTAGATGGACCTATGGACGTAGGTGGAAATTAGCAGACATTTAGGGGGAAAATGTAGTTGGGTCAACCTCAAATGATCATAACTCTTAGCCCAAAATGAATTAGGTATCCCATTATATACCAAAAGATAGATAATTGAATTAGCTTTCCATAACCACCAACCTTTCTAAAATCAGACATGTGAGTAAAAAGTTATGCCCGTTTTAGTAAAGGCATGTTGAACAGACTCAACCTACGGACCCAAAGGACGGATCATCAATTGAACGACGGTCCTTCAGTCCAGGTCGTCGTTTGGTCGGACAACTATTAACTCGGGGGTCTTTTGGTCTTTTTTCACTTCGTTTAAACTCTAACATACGTAATTTTGACCCTAAATCATCATAATTTAGTCAATTTAAGCCTAGAAACATAACTAAAACTTACCTAAATTGAATCATAAAATCAAAACATAGAAAAATTAGAAGCATGAAAGGAGAAAAAGGTCAAGAACCCTAGTTCAAGAATGCAACAAGGTTGCAGCAATTCCAGTTATGTGGAAAGGATAAAAAGGTCATCATCATGTATATGGGATTTCACCAGTGGGTTCCTTTCACCCATTGGGTCCCTAGTTTTCAGCCAGATCATGATTCCCATATCATGCTTAGACCAAGAGTTTCTAGAACTTCAACAAAACTACATGAATTAATTAGTTATATGTTTCAAATATGATTTCCATGTTATTACTTAGATTGTTGCATGAATTTCAGAACCCTAGCTATGTATTTGCTTAGTTATTGAATTAGACATGCTAGATCAGATATTTTTGTTACTTCAGATATGCATGCCTCGATTATAAATGCATAATTACCAGATTAATTGTTGCATTCTCAGTTTCCATGTTCACTTTTGAGCTATCCAGTATTTATAGAAACTCAGTCATAATCAGTTTTTACATAATTCATTGGGAGTAGTATTAATATCGAGTTGGACTAGGGTTCAACGTACCCAATAGGCCCAAAACTACTAGCCAAGTAGGTAGTAAGTCCCTTCTGTGGGTATCAATTTAGTGTTCACGTCAGCATGCCTTTATACCTCTGGTAGGGTATATTGGGTCCTCTCGATGGGACGTATACACCGGACTCCACATTTAGCTCATGTGGTGTTATTATTGGTTATTAGTATCTCCCATAGATCAGTCAGATTCCATTGTATTGACCATTTATTAGTATATTCAGTATTTAGTTTAAGCATGTTATAAATTGGTCATTGTATTCAATTATCTCAGTATTCAAAATCTATATCATGTTCAGATAATATACTTGCTTTTGTGCTTGTTCAATAATGTATTATTTCAGCTTTATTCTACCCTACATGCTCAGTACCTTCAAGTACTGACGCATATATGCGCTATATCTTCTTGTGATGTATATTCAGGTTCTCAGCATCCAGATCATGCATACATCGATTCTCGATCTCCAATTCAGCAGATTTAGTGGTGAGTCCTTATTCTCCGAGGAAAATAGTCATGAGTTCAGTTCAGTCTGTTAGTCATTTAGTTTCAATTTTTTACAAGACTTGACTAGGGTTTGTTCCAGCATTTCTAGTCAGTTAGAGGCTTATTTCAGACAAAGTTAGTTTCATCTTAGAATTGAGTAAATATTTCATTTGTATTAAACTCAATGTTTTCAAATATCTCAGTTATAGAATATGGGTATTCCCTATCTTTTCATATTAAATTATGATTTAGCTTTCACATTCAGTTTATTATCTTTAGTATGCTCATGATTAGGCCAACAGCGTTAGCTTGGGATCACTTGTGGTCCTAGATTCTGTGTTCTCTTCTTGGGGGTATCTTGGGGCATGACAGTCCACCAAAGAAAAACTACATCAATATTTATTTCACTCTACAAAGAATACAAGTGAAATACTACAAGAGAGAGAAAACAAATTTCTTAGAAGGTGAGAAGGCAAGTGAGATGATGTTTTATACAATTAAGAGCTACCTATTTATAGGAATGAATTCATCCTATTGATGTCATCCATGACATCACTTTATGTCAAAAATGTCAAGGTTAAGAATATGTATGAAACCATTTCATGGTTTTCCGAAAACTTCACCTACCAAGATACTATCTTGACTTTTATTTTGTATTAATTATCTTCCTACCAAATATTCATGTTAATTCATCTTCCATTTAGTTTCATTCCACAAGAACCAAGCAACCTCTTTCAATCTCCACCTTGGTTTGTGTTCCGAGTATGCGTATAAACAACTTTGGCCCAAACTTCTAAGCTTACATGGAAGTCTGTTGTAAGAAACAAGATGAATCAAAACTTTGTCGAACATACTAGCTCTACCTAGCAATTGTTCCCCTAGATTTGCATCACTTGATGCATATTCCCGACATGTCCTTTCAGTGTGCAAACTTGGCAAGCAGAACTACTTTGGTCAGCATGTCTGCAGCGTTATCGTCTGTGATAACATTCTCAACTTGATAACTCCCTCGTCTACAACATCTCGAATAAAATGGAATCTGACATCAATGTGTTTGATGCGCTCATGAAATCTTTGATTTTTAATCAAATGAATAGCACTTTGACTATCACATCTTAGAATTGATTCAAGCTGAACCAAACTCAATTTTTCCACAAAACCTTTCAACCATATATTCTTCCTCTATTGTAGACAAAGAGACAATAGACTATAAAGTCAATTTCCAACTAACGGCACTACCAACGAGAGTAAAGATGTATCCAGTTGTTGACCTCCTTCGATCAAGATCCCTAGCATAGTCAGAATCTACATAACCGAGAATTGAAATACCTTCACTTTTATGGAAGATTAGGCCAACAACAGGAGCTCTTTTGGGATATCTCAATATTCACTTGAGAGTTCCTAGTGCATTTTTCCTGGATTTTCCAAGTACCTGCTTACCACACTTACACATTGAGCAATATATGGGTGTGTGCACACCAAAGCATACATAATGCTATGAACTGCGCTTGCATAAGGAAGCTTTGACATATGCTCCAGCTCATCCATAGACTAAGACATTTGTAACTCTGAGAGCATGATATGAGGTGCTAAGGTGTACTTACATGCTTGCTCATAT